TACATATATATATACATATACATATATATATATACACATACATATATAGATATATATACATATATATATACATATACATATATATATACATATACATATATAGATATATATACATATATATATACATATACATATATAGATATATATACATATATATATACATATACATATATAGATATATATACATATATATATACATATACATATATAGATATATATACATATATATATACATATACATATATAGATATATATACATATATATATACATATACAAATATATAATATATATATATATATATATATATATATATATATATATATATATATATATATATATATACACACATATGTATATATAAATATATATACACATATATGAATATATACACATATGAATATATACATATGTATATATAAATATATATACATATGTATATATACACATATGTATATATAAATATATATACATATATATGTATATATATGTATATATATGTATATATATGTATATACATGCATATATACATATATATGCATACATATGTGCATATATACATATATATGCATATATACATATATATGCATATATATGCATATATAAACATACATGTGTGTGTGTGTGTGTGTGTGTGTGTGTGTGTGTGTGTGTGTGTGTGTGTGTGTGTGTGTGTGTGTGTGTGTGTGTGTGTGTGTGTGTGTGTGTGTGTGTGTGTGCGTGTGTGTGTGTGCGTGCGTGTGTGTGCGTGTGTGTGTGTGTGTGTGTGTGTGTGTGTGTGTGTGTGTGTGTGTGTGTGTGTGTGTGTGTGTGTGTGTGTTATATATATATATATATATATATATATATATATATATATATATATATATATATATATATATATATATGTGCATGCATACATGCATATATGCATATATGCATACATACATACATACATACATACATATAGCAAATTAATCTCTGTGAATGTCTGTGTCTATTTGTCAATCAGTATCTCCTCCCTTGGGGATAATTCATTCATTATGAACCTTCACGATGTCATAGTACCTAGAAAATTACTTTTATAAACTGATGTATGCAGAATCATTAATCACAAAATGACGCAAAAATGGAGAAATGTTGTAGGTGTTATTGAATTTGCTTCCATGAAAGAGTTTTCTCTAGACTTATTAAATGCTATTCTGACTATTTCCCCACCAACCTCTCTTTCTATCATATCCAAATCCTCTACGCACTATTTCTATCACAAAATGTATTGACAATCCCGTTTTAGAAAGACAAACACGGTAACATTGAAATTAGTTGATGTTTCAGTGTAATCATAAGAGCAGAATGTTCCCAGATTCCCTAATTCCCTGTGGTATGTAGATATCTTTTTATTCTATGTTGAGCAATATTAGACCTTGATAGTGAAAATAGCTTTTAACCTTTCTGTCATGGCAGTTTATAATGCATTTTGAATTAACAACCACATGCTGCCTCTTTAAATATACAGTAAAGGCCGAAAGTATAAAACATTCCATTTCTTTTGTTGTGCATTCATAGAATAAAAGATGCTGCATAATGATCAGTCAAATTCCTTTTCAGTATATGTACAAACAAGTGCAAACTCTCCCTTGAGAAGCAGCTGAGAAGAAATGCCAAATAAAAGTTGCAAATGTCAGCTAAAACCAGAAAGAGCAAAGATTTCATTTGTCAATAGACAGCAGGCACATTAAGAAATTACTGAAAAGTATCTGATAAGAAAAATCAATATTGTAAATGTATACAAGTGATGTGCTAATACACTCCACTACTCAAAATGTAACCTTAATGAATACAATATTGATTTTACTCAGTTTTTTGGTGAAAATGTCACATCTTGCATGACCTTTCCTTCTCAAAACATGGAACCACACTGACAGTTACACCTGACCTTTTATTTACTAAGAAATGCAGTTGGATATAAGCAAAGTAGGAGGTACAAAGGTTAGTCAGTTATGCTGGAAGGGTGTTCAGAATCTAAATTGTGTATAGAGTAGCTATTTTGTCTTAAGGTCTCCCTGTGGCTACGACAAAATTTCTAAATGTGTAGTTGTGCATCAATGCTTAATTCATATCAGTGCATAAAATGAAATATGTGTTTGTAAAGATATGCTACAAATTTCAACAATGATTGATGATGACTAATGACTGATTACTGATGATGATGATGATGAAGATGATGACTGATATTGAAGTTGATCACTGATACTGATGATCACTGATACTGATGATGCTGATGACAATGACAATGACGATAAGGATGACAATGATGACTGATGCTGCTGCTGATGATAATGATGATGACTGCCAGTCAAGAATGTTACAACTACAATGCAGAGCACATAACATTCTATAACCCTGCATCAACTGGTTTTGAAGGAACGGTAATGAGTACAGTATCTCTACAAAGTAAGCAATTTGGCATTCTCTTACTTTTCGTTTTTACTTCCTATGTTTTGAAAGTGCAAATAAAATGCTGGTTGGCTTGGTAGAGTGAAACAAAATTTCAATCATACATCAGTTACAGAATGACATATCATTCTCTTTTCCCACATTACTAATATTTACCCTCACATTATCCACATACTCCTCATTAAGTGTCCCATCCTTTTCATGGTCAGTCCTCTATCCATCATAAAGATATATGACTTCTGAATACAACATCTTTCTTCCCCAGTCAGTAAAAAGCTTCTTAGACATTTTTTTCAGGAGAAAACTCATCATTTGTATCTCACTCTAAAGTTCCCCTGAAATATGAGTTTTATAGCTATTGCAAATTACTGGAACAAAATTATTACTAATATTAGTTTTCATATCTAATGTGACTTTCTAAAACTGAAACAAATAGGTGGGCTATATCTGCTCTACTTTTTATTTTCATGAACATTCTTAGGATCCCGGCATCTGTCTCTCAACCATGTTTGTTCTCTTTCTTACTCTCAATCTCATCTTCATTCTTTCTTTGTTTTTTTTATACAAAACATGAATATTTCTGAACAGTTGATAAAAGCTTATTAATGTTTTTGCAACAGTTAATAACAAAATTAACTACACAACTATGTCAAGAACAAAATTTTCACCGCATTTCTATCCACAACATCCATGGCATCAAAAGCACAAGAAGCAGCACAGCTAATGGTAACAGATCCTTCCCCCACAATGCAATAGCTTCTTCAAAATCATCTGTGAAAACAAAGCCCCCAAAACAAGAAAAAAACTTGTACTCACCTCTAGATGGGGGATGATTCATCAGAATGGCCAAAGGACATTCATCATCATCAAGGATATATTCCTTCTGTGGGGACGTGGCTCCTCCATATCCTTCGTCACCTCCAACTACATTCTGAGAAGGAAAAAGGAAACTTTGTGGTGCTGGACTGGTCTAATTCAATCTGTTCAATTCACACTAGTCAAAAGGTTATTAATCATTACAATCACACACAGTTCATACTTGATCAGACAACACATACTAAACTGATACTTATTTTCATTTTAAAAACTTTTAAGGGTCTGTAACATAGTCTACCAAGTTAGTGACCTCAAGATACACCAAAATATCTTGTTATATTTTCCATTACCATTCATCTCTTGCCCTAAGTCTTATTAGTGAAATATAAAGAAACAGTTTAGAATAACCCACAGATATATTGCCACAAAGCAGTACTGTGATTTCCCGTGTCGGAATTCTCATCCAAGTTTTTCCTTATTATGAGGAATCAAACAATTATCCTACTGACCTAACAATAAATAATCCCAAAACTATTCTTAAACTTTTATTGTTTTATGTAAGCAAAGTAATAAAAGTTGCTGTTCATACTATGAAGTCAAAACTCACATCCCTGAAATGTACAGAGATGAAGATTAGAATTTCCATAAACCTATGTTTCTGTTGATCATATGACATCATAATGATTCCTAGAACTAGAGTTGTGGGAAGGGAGAACCACCACTGACAAAACCTATTCACAGGTTTAGAAATGACACACAGTTTCCACATTGTGGCATTTGACAGATGAAAAGTAATTTTTTCTTTCTTTCTTTTTTTGAGTTCTAGTCTGAAGGTTAGAACGATCAAGTAGGACCCAACTGCAAATAACAACTGAACTGGCTTCATACAAACAACAGTTTCTTAATAGTAACATTATGATCAAAACATTAACCCATTGCCTCCATGTGACATTACATTCATGTTATGGTATTACTATTCTTTCCTCTTGGGGATATGAATGTCCTCTCATGCCATTTTACTTTTTAAAAAATCAAATTTGTTTATTCCATGTTCAAACACCATACAGGTGTGGAGGCAAAGAGGAATGGAGAGAGGAAAAAGTAGCCATCACTGATGTGTCACACACCATTTCACTGCATGCTCAGTGGCATTGCCTGAGAGAAGCAGGAGCATATATGAAAGCCCAGGGTGAAGCTTGCTTTCGCAAATCTCATTGAACTAAACCCATAAATCCTTTGTCTGCAATCCCTGATGTTAAGGCTCGCTAGGTCAAGCTCTCACACCACCTCTGCTGCTGCCTAATAGTAAGTCATTTTCATATCATCTCCTCTTCATTTACACAAAAAATATGCTACTATATCTAATATCTGCATAGCTTTGATATGATTTTCAGGTTCTCATGTTTTCAAGTACCCTTCAAGTGAGGACATTGATGTCCCACTGCAGTTAATCAGTAAGTGGCAGTCAGATCACTATTTTGTATCTGTACACAAAATGTATATGCCAATAAGGTTGTATATGCATGTTTTTTTTTTTACATATTTCATTGTCATTTTCTCTTTTTCCTTTTCCTTTTTATCAGGTGCACCTGAAGTAAGGATCCAGCTGAGGTCAGAGTACCCTTGGCAGGGTCCGACTTCTTGCCAGATGATGCTGCTCGGAAAGGATTCCACTCAACAGCAGCTATGATGATTTAGCTTTTGTGTCCCTAGAGGATACTATGTTTGATTTGGATGTGCCACTTTCAGAGGTTTCAGCATGACAGTGGGATAAGAATGATCCTGGGACCTAAATTTTACAAATCTATACATATATTTTTAACCCATTGCCGCCGGGGAAAATGAACAAAAATTGGGGAGAATGCAGTACTCATTTTTCATATTTTTGTGAAATATGTCTGTTCATAGATGACTCTGCTAGTCCTGATTTCACCTTTCCTTGAATTGGCGGGAAAAAACGTATTGTTACTAGTGCTATTAATATAGATGGTGTTATTTTTAACAGCAAATTAGGATAACGTTAAATATTTTCGTAAATCGATGAAAAGGGTGAACGGGCGAGACAGGCAGTACTCGTAATTGGCTCAATGGTGACTTAGTACAAGTGTAGCCATCTATGTGTAAAAACAATCGAACAAGTCAACTCACAGTAGGCATGGCATGTACATACATGCCATCTTTCTATGTAACTAAAAACACTGGAATTTCCATTTACAGCAAAAAAAAAAGACACATAATAAGCAAAAATCATTCTGCATATAAAAACTTTAGCACACCAAATCAGATAGAGACCAAAGAATATGCAAAAATAATCAAAAGACAGACACATAAAAATGGTCCCCGGCATCATAATACTAACATAACCAGATCTGTTAGTTGTGCAGCTGGTGCATAACACGGCCTGAGCCTGCAACAGGTCACAGAGCAAAGACCAGGAAACTGTAGATTCTACATGAAGGACAGATCAGGTGTACCCAAAATTTATGAATTTTGGGTACTTATACAAAATTCTAGCTGATTCTTGCTAATTTCATACTGCAATTCCAAATTAGTTCTCAAAGCAGGCATACTAAAAATATATTTTACTGCTGCTTGTGAAACTAATGTCATTTACCACCATAATACTAAGTAGGGAAACCCCTACTTTTTTGCAAGTATCCTTCATCATCATACCAACAGAATATATACAAGAACACTGCAGACATGAGTTATCATTTCGGAGAGCTGCTCCTTCTATGTAAGTCTCACTGAATAAATAAACTGTGACCACTAGACAGTGTCTAAAAAAGATAGAGGATCATTCTTTTCCTCTCACTCACTCTATCATACTAATAAAGGGATAGAGCAATGGGCACACCCCCCTAGGGGGCATAAGTAATTTCCAAGAATGGCACAAGCCCTTGGGAAAAAGTAGTAATTTCTCTAACTATATTTGTTATTCTTTTAATGAGACCTTGGTCAAATAAGAAGTTTAATTATAATTTGACTAATCCATACTCAATTATAAAAAGACTAAGAACATACCAATAATTTTCTTTAACCCATTCCCGCCGGGGAAAATGAACAAAAAATGGGGGAAATGCAGTATTCATTTTTTATATTTTTGTGAAATATGTCTGTCCATAGATGGCTCTGCTAGTCCTAATTTCACCTTTCCTTGAATTGGCAGGAAAAAACGTATTTTTACTAGTGCTATAAAAATAGATGGTGTTATTTTTAACAGCAAATTAGGATAACGTTAAATATTTTCGTAAATCGATGAAAAGGGTGAACGGGCGAGACAGGCAGTACTCGTAATTGGCTCATTGGATACTTAGTACAAGTGTAGCCATCTATGTGTAAAAACAATCAAACAAGTCGACTCACAGTGGGCATGGCATGTACGTACATGCCATCCCCGGCAGCAATGGGTTAAAATTGGGAGGAAATTTAATTTACAGATGCATGGGATGTAGGAGGAAGAACAAATTCCTAGATGAGGCATAGTAGGAAAAGGTTAAGAACCACTGCATAACAAACAACTTTCACTGATTTACACCCAAAATTCACTTCGCCTTGGAATTTCAACTCTGCCCAGCTGCAAAGTGCAGCAAGTGGTCTTGGCAGTTGTAATTTCAGTATGAATAGGAAAAATATCCAAATAATATGTGAATAGTTTGGACCGAAACATAAATCAAATTGTGCTAAATTAGTAACAAAAGGTCAACTGAAACTGAAATTATATAAGCATATAATTTCCTGTAAATGTTTACACACACACACACACACACACACACACACACACACACACACACACACACACACACACACACACACACACACACACACACACACACACACACATATATATATATACATATATATATATGTGCGCCTATTTTCCTTACTAAAGCTATAAGAACGTGGATCTTCTACTTACTAGTGATGCCATGCTACAGCCAATCTGCTAGTTTGCCCAAAATTATTTGAAAATGCATCATAAATGCTATAAATCTCCAATTCCTAGCCTATGGCCTAATACCATCAGTGCTTAGCACCCTCTTACAACACATACAGCCCCCTGAAACATCCTGGATTTGCTAATGCCAATCTGTGCATAAATCCTTGACAATTGATATTTCCAATTAATGATTTCAAGGCTGTTTTCACTTGGGAATATTATTTTCTTGCCCTTTTGCTAAATTAGGAAACATTAAACAATCACACATACATGTACAGTTACAGATGTATGAATAAAGTGATGAGAGACTGGAATTTTCCACTATGTGTAATCAGCTTGAGTGTATGAATGAGTGTTGTTCATGTGTCCATTATGAGGTGCATTACATGAACAACAGGGACTGACCAGCCATGCCAGGGGCACCAGGCATCATCATGCCTTGGGGTGCTGTCTATTACCAGCTGCGAGTGTGAATGGTGTTTCCTTTACTTTTTTTCCAAATACCCAACACCAGAGGACTTAATTCATAATTCAATAATATAATAACAAGAAAATAAGCATCTCCATCTCCCACACACACAAATAATAATAATACCAATTCATATTCAACATGATATTCATCAACAAATACCTGTATGAGACAGTAGTTATTGGGGTCTTCCTTATAGAGCCCATATTTGTCGAGCATCTCCCGAACAACACTAAGAGCATTGTCACGGACAGACAGAAGCAGTGTCTTGTAAGGCACATCAGGACGTAGAGATTCACCATAAATCTGAAGAAATAGCAATTGGTTAAATGATATCTTTGGTCAGAAATTGAACACGTAGAGGCTTACCAAAAATCAATACTCATTTAGTACATAGTTCAGAAAGTATAATGACCTAATTATATTAGTAAGTAATAATTCTCTGGAAATAAATTCCTCTTTCATCCCACGCTGTTCTATTCACTTACAAAAAATACTTTTGCATTATAAAAATCAATCTGGAAGAAACTTTTATGAAACATAATGTAAATACATTAGCATAGCTTATATATGTATATCTAAAGATCAAAGTGCTAAAACATAAGAAAGTTTGATATACTTAAAAACTTTTGCAAGTGCTAAGCTTCAAACAATAACCTAACATCAATTTGATACTTATATCATCACTTTGCACATAATTTTTGGATTCACTCAATAGCATTGAAATTACAAGAAATGATGAATAATTCAGTATGAATATACTCGCAACAATCTTGGTTACTGCTGGAATACTAGTATGCTAACAACCCCCAAAAATGCTACAACTGACATGAAACATGAAGATGTCCAAAAGTCGAATTTGTCATTTCAAAACTCTGATCTCGTAAAGTCTGATTGATAATTGTTTTTGTGCTCCAAAAGTAACTACAAAAGGAATGGAAAGTACTACCTGTTCATAAAAGAGTATTTTTCCTTTTCATTTCCTTTACATCCTATATCTATTTAATTTTAAGAATTTCCTTAAGTCAAATACCTTTTTACTGACAAACGTAAAAAGAGGCTTACTAAAATTTCTTGACATGCATCTTCAGAATCTTTGATTAGTTTTTTTCTCCACATCTACCTACTACTATACAACTAACTGCAACCTGAAATATTAAGCCAATGCTGCTGGGGAAATGTAGTGTTCACTATAGTATTGTTTTATGAAATGTCTCTACACATAGATGGCAAGTGCTCAGCTACTGAGGAGTCAACCCCACTTGATTTCACCTTTCCCCGAGTTTCTGGGAATTATGTTTTTTACTAATGCTATCAATACTGCTCCTATCATTATTATTATTGTAGAAATCATAATCAATATAATGTTATTAGCATTAGTATTAGCAATATAAGATAGAAAAAATATTTCTGAAAATCTAGGAAAAGGGTAAACAAGACATATAGATAGCATCAGAAATTGACTCATTGGTAACTAAGTTATTGTGGAGCCGTCTACA